ACTTAAAGTAAGACACAGTGTGGGAGGTAGGAGGATTTACTTCTTTGTCTTTGGGCATCCTCTAGTGTGGTATTTTCCATATACTTTGGATTGGCGCCTTTTCCCCCCCCCTCCTTTGTTTAACTTGGCTAGTAACTATTACTGTTAAGAATCACCAATTTGTAGTCTCTAAGGATTATATATGTCTCTCCACTTCCTCAAGCCTTCAGCAATTGCTATCCTAGCTCTGTGAAAGTGATGTCACCTATCCATAATACTAAGAATTTTCTTTTAACATATATCCTTTTTCTGGCTGTCCAACTGCATATTGAATTGACTTTCCCATTTAGATTGTAAGCTTCTTTGGGCACGGACTGTCCTGCTTTAATGACTCTGCAGTGGATGAAGTGCTGCATGTCCCACTTTATAGCCGTAGTGCTTTTCACATGGTCCTAGTTCTATTGCATCACTAGGATAAGTCTGAAGATGTTGCACCTTTAAAGTAGCATAGAGTGGCCCCAACTGGAGATAGCTGGAGCCAAAATGGAAAACATTAAACCTGAATGTTATTTACCCCTTCACATAACACAACAACCCCGAGGTCACCCAAGAAAATTAATAGGCAGCAGCTTTAAAATAGAAGTGTGAAAAAGTACTTACAATGCACAATCAACCTGTGGAGCTCATTGCCAGGGATGTTGTGAAGGCCAAAGCTATAACTGGATTCAAAAAAGATAGGTCCATCAATAGCTATTAACCAGGTTGGGCACGGATGCAACCCCATGCTTTAGGTGCGCTACACCTCTAACTGCCAGATGCTGGGACTGGATGACAGGGGAGGGATCACTCAAAAATTGATCTGTTCATTCCCTCAGAAGCATCTGGCACCAGCCACTGTTGGAAGATAGGATATTGGGCTAGATGGACTGTTGGTCTGACCCACTATGGCTGTTATTGTGTTCTTATGAGCAAAACCAACCCTGTCTTACCACCTGCCCCTTTACAAACACTTAAAATCACAGAACTTTAAATGTGAGGTGGAAGGAGGGGACTCTAAATCCACCCACTCAAGTGCAGGCGAATGCAGTAGCTACAGGTGGGCCTGTGGCCAGACAGCTGCAGTTTCACAAGCTGTCTGAAAATCTTTCAGAATGCTGGTGTCTAGGGACTCTGCGGGTGAGGTGACCAGCTGACTCTGGCTGACATTCTCCCCTTCCCCTGCCAGCTGAGTGCAGGTGAAGCAAGAGAATGGTTTCAAGAGGATGGGATGGGAAAGCATAGGCCCTTCAGTACTCTTCAGCCTGGTCCTCTAGGAGGACCGGAGAAGGGCCTGGCCCAAATCCCACCCCACCTTGTTGTAAGAAGCCAGGGTGGGTACACGAGACATCACTAACTTGAGGGGCAAGACCAGGACCAGGACCCTGCAGTGGTTCAGTGCATGACCAGCTGAGAAGCCCCATCCCCAGGGCCTTGTGTCCTTTTATCTGTTTTGTCTTGGTTTTTGGAAATCCTAGTAGCCTGGCTGGCTAAACCAGAGGAAGTCAGAGAGTCTGGCTCAGCATGTGCTCCTTGAGAACAACCTCCCCACCATCCCTTCTCAGATTGCTACCCTAGCCCAGCCCTGCCCTGCCCCACCCCTCTGCCTCTCACACAGTCAGATACGCTGCCAGGCAGATATGCTTTGACTGTGATGCTCAAGGTGTGAGCCTACTGGTATTTCTTGGTATGGCATCCCCTACATCTGTGGTGGGTGGGTATAATAGGCTGGGGGAGGCTAAGCCTCCCCCAACAGACACTGCCCCACCCATGCTGCTCCTCTTCCTGCCCCCACTCCTCTTTCCCTCCACAAGACCCACCTTCATTCTGCCCCTTCCTGGAGGCCCCAACCACTCACTGTGTTGCTCCTCTCCTCAACCCTCCCTCCCCCGAGGTCGCCACTGCTCACTGAGTCGCTCCTGTCTTCCACCTTCCCCCCTACCCCCCAGGTCCCTACTGCCTGCCATGTGGCTCCTCTCCTCCACCATCCCTTGAGGCCCCCACCACTCACTGTCGCTCCTCTCTTCCACACACCCCACCTCCTGCATCATTCCTCTCCTTCAGCCCCCCTCCCTCAAGGTGCCCACTGCTCACCAAGTTGCTCCTCTCCTCCACCCCACTTCCCCCGAGTCCCCACCACCACATCGCTCCTCCACAGCAGAGGAGAGGTGCAATGGTGAGCAGCTGGGGGGCAGGGGTAAGCAGAAGCGAGGCATGGCGTGGAGTGGGGTGGTGTGTGGGCAGGGCCTCAGGGAGGAGGCCAAGTAAGGGTGAGCCTTGGGGCAGAGCAGGGAGTGAGGCCACAGTCTGGGTGCCAGGGGAATATCCTGCGTTCACACCAGCCTTCCCAAATGCTGGAGCCACATGCCGCCCATGCCTACCTATCAGGTAAGTACAACATTGTGGTTGGGCACGTAGAGAGACTAGGGAGCTTGTCTGAGGACGGGGAGACAACAGAATAAATGAGTTTAGCAGACGTGGTGAGGGGGGAACCAGGGAAGGAAGGTGAAAGGGGGAATAGACTAAAAATGAGAGAGGAGAAAAAAGACAAACAGAAAACTCAGGTGGAGGATATAAAGACTAAAGAGGAGGAGCAGAAACAAGATAGGACTCAAGCAGGGTAAGTTTCAAAATAAAAACTGCCAGGCTTGCAGATAAAGGTAGAAAATCAAATGAAGGGACTGGGAGAATACAATAAAGGAAACAGTGGTACTATTAGCAACTCCTCTCTCCAAACCCATTACTGAAACATCTCAATTTTAATTCTGAAAGTGGGGCAGTGATTTGGAGGGAGGAATAGATGCACTCCCATGCATGGCTCCACTCAAACTGGTCCCTTGTGCCCTTTCCTACTGAGAAGTGACTCAGGGGGAGAAAGAGGGAAGATGTCCAGGTTTTCCCTCCTTCAGGAGAAGAGAGCTGGAGATATTCTCAACAGAACCCTTCTCAGTACACAGTAGAGGTTCTCTTTCCCCAGGAGACAACTACAGTTAGAAGTGCATGTTGAGAGAGAGTGAATTAGGTGAGAGTGTAGGATTTCAGGACTCCATGGTGCTCCAAAGGTTCAGAATTGATACTCCAGATGTTAATTCAGTGTGCACATAAAGACAGCAATATAGAATTGCCTAATGTTCACCAGATGAGCACACAAACCTCTGGCATCCCTCAGGTTTATGGCTTATTTGAAGAATTGTCCCTGGCCATTTGTTTCTAAATGGAGTCAACTGTGGCTCCATCCTTAATTTAATCTGTATTGCAATACACAAGCAATTGCATGTACTATAACTAAGATAGCAGGCTGTTGGGAGATTTCCATCTTAGCTATTTAAGGTACCTATCATTGTGATATCTGAGCACATTTTAAACTTGTTCTTGTGTAGTGTGAGCTAGAAAAAGCCATGCTAGAAGTTTTAGTTACATAGGAGAAAGACTAGTAGCTGTAGATCGTACAAGTTAGTACAGTAGTTTGCTCTTACTCTCTCTGGCTGTAGAGCACAGAAAGTTTGTCCACTCTTTTCCTTTAACCTAACAGTCATCATAGCCACAGTGTTAGTGAACTTATTTGTCTGTGAGTCCCCTCTTTGTTTTGTATAATATTAGATGTTAAGTCCTCATTAACATGTTTAGAATTTTATGTAATTCTTAGTTAACATTCAATATAGTGTTAAAACCATATTCCCCAATCTCCTGCTATGTAATGTTAATTTCCTTTTGCATAATTGATCATTTCAAAGAGTATAGTCAGCTCTACCGTTGGCACTTTCTTGACCTTTCAAAGTACACCTATCCAGTGTCCATGGATATCTGGGTATACACTTGTAACAGGGCCACTTGCATCTTTAAGGGCTAGGAACTAGCCAGTCCTCTTCAATTTATCAGATCCAGCTGGGAAGGAGGTCAGGTGATGCCTATAACTGGTTGAGAGCTCAGCTGCAGGTGGGAGATTGAAGGGAAGGGTATGTCTTCCTTTCAGGCTGAAAGGGACAAGCAGAGGAACTGCTTTTTGTTTTGATATTTTGCTTCAGTTTTATGTTGAAAAATAAAACTGTGCCCTGAAAAAGATGTAGGTATGGCTGTGAGTTCTTCCAGTTCACCAGATCAGCAGCTTACATGTAGTGGAGAATGGGGGGCAGCTGATTGGCCCTGGAACTAAGGCAGCAGACAGCCCAAAGCCAAACTGGTGGCACTGACACAATACCGTTCTCAGCACTAAGTCACTTAGTACCTTGCCTTGAATTCTTCAATCCAAGGAGTCACTTTGTTGTATAGGGCATTTTTAATTTATTAAAAAGATAATTTAGTACAGATTTAATATGGATAAAACTAAGTAGACAATTTTAGATTATAAAATAAATACAGTTATTTGTCTAATGATTTTTTTAAAATTCTGACTCACTGAAATCAACTTAATAAATATTGTAATCTTATTAGACGTGATGGATGTTGGGACAAAATAAAATTTTTCTAGAGTATTTGTAAAGTTCTTTAAGTACTGAGTAGTACTTTGGCTCAAACAGCAATTTGGTAGGGGGAAGGAAAGAAACAGAAGGTTCCTGAAACTTTTAGAGTTTGGGATTTCTGATTATTTTTTTTTCTTTTGGCCTTTCCCTGGAGCTCTTCCAAGTACTTGAAAAAATCAGTTTTATGGAATGTAAGGCATATGAGTTGGTTTGTACATGTGCTTCCTTTTTACTATCTTTAATATTTTTATATTCCATTCATAGGATGGGTGAGCTTACACAAGTTCTGCAGTGTTGTACATGAATTTCATATAAACGTGTGTGTGATCATTCTGGGACAAGTTGGTAAAGGATTCCTGAATACATTGCTAGTGACCTTTGGTTCTCAGTTCACTTGATGTCAATATAGCACTGACTCCTGAAAACACTCTTCTTAAGAGGATACTTGTCATTTGTATTTAGATTTGCTGTTAAATGTCTGAAGTCAAATATCAGTGTCAACATTTACTATACAAAAGAGTAGAATATGATTAAATTTTGATTTATTATGAATAGATTCTGCTCCTGGCACGTAGGTACTATACATTCAGTACAGAATAACACTTCAAAGACCCACAAGATTTTTGCTGTTATTGCTGTTCACAGTTTGATGAAAACAGGACAGCCCTATTTTCAAATGACTTTCCATCCCCATTCCACCTCTTGTACAACTTTTCATAGAAGACAAGTTTTGTTTATTTAAACAAATCTAGTGATCTCTAATATTTAAACTTTTAGGCCAAAATTCTAAAATTGAATGCCTAAAATTAGCCTCCTATATAAAAGTGGCATGATTTTCAGAGGTGCTGATCTCCCTCAGTTCCCACGGAAGCTGAAGGAAACTCATCATCTCTGAGAATCAAGCTACTTTTTTTTCCTCTCTATTTTTTGAAGAAAGGAGGATGGAGATTAAATATGGATCTACAAGACTAATTTTAAAAATCCATATTTGAGATTTTTGATGTAGATTAGTGTGTGTAAGACAGAATTTCTTTATTCATTGATCTCTTCCTCATCATCTTCAAATGTTTCCTCTCCATCATTTGCCGTAGCTTCTTGGTACTGCTGGTACTCCGAAACCAGGTCATTCATGTTGCTTTCTGCTTCTGTAAATTCCATCTCATCCATCCCTTCTCCTGTAAACCAATGGAGGAAAGCCTTTCTCCTGAACATGGCAGAGAACTGCTCAGAGATCCTTTTGAAGAGCTCTTGAATAGCTGTGCTGTTGCCAATGAAGGTGGAGGCCATCTTGAGGCCACGGGGTGGGATGTCACAAACTGCCACTTTGACATTATTTGGGATCCATTCCACAAAGTAGCTGCTGTTCTTGTTTTGGATGGCCAGCATCTGCTCATCAACCTCTTTCATGGACATGGGACCTCGGAATACTGTTGCCACTGTTAAATATCGTCCATGTCTTGGGTCACATGCTGCCATCATGTTTTTGGCATCGAACATCTGTTGAGTGAGCTCTGGAACAGTGAGTGCTCGGTATTGCTGACTGCCTCGGGCTGTCAAAGGAGCAAACCCTGGCATGAAAAAGTGAAGGCGTGGGAATGGCACCATATTTACTGCCAGTTTTCGAAGGTCAGCATTCAGCTGGCCTGGAAAACGCAACGATGTAGTTACTCCACTCATTGTAGCAGACACCAAATGGTTTAAATCTCCATACGTCGGGGTGGTGAGCTTCAGGGTGCGGAAACAAATGTCATACAAAGCTTCATTATCAATGCAGTAGGTTTCATCTGTGTTTTCAACCAGCTGGTGGACTGAGAGTGTAGCATTATAAGGCTCCACCACTGTGTCAGAGACTTTTGGAGAGGGCATGACACTAAATGTATTCATTATCCTATCGGGATATTCCTCTCGGATTTTGCTGATTAGTAGCGTTCCCATGCCAGAACCTGTTCCTCCTCCAAGGGAATGAGTGAGCTGAAATCCTTGCAAGCAATCACAGTGTTCGCATTCTTTTCTTACAACATCAAGCACTGAATCTACCAGCTCTGCTCCTTCTGTATAGTGTCCTTTGGCCCAGTTATTTCCTGCACCTGTTTGTCCTGAAATAATATAGGATAAAGGAAGAAAATATTACTGATAGGGTTTGACGGTTGGAGGCTTGATGATCTCAAATCACATACAATTAATTGTTCTAAATTTGTGAGCTAGTAAATCATACTCTCTGGTCTTCCTTACAAATATGTACAGAAGAATTACTAGTGGCATTTTTTGACAATGAGCACATAGAAAAGTATTGTTAATTATGTTAGCTGTGATTTCTGACAGACACTGAAGGGGAAATTAGGTTTTCCAAATATTATTCCAAATATTAACTGAACTTTATCTTTAGTTACTAAGTTTAGTTGAATTTACTTCCTGACTTTCTCTCAGCTTGGATAGTGAAAATTGGCTAGTCTGTTTCATGGTCATGTCTAATAATTTTGACTTTTTAGTTCCCATTCATAAACAATATTTGAATTGTAGACTCCACAGAGGGAATGGTATTCTTTTAAAAATAAGCTGTTTCCACTGAAAGATTTAAAAATAGTAATGAATGCATTGCTTTATACTTCCCTAAATGGTTTAAAACCTAAATTCCTTTTAATGTCCTAACCTGGTGTGAATCTTGTCATTTTAATGTATATTTTGTGATCTTTATCACAAAGGTGCCAGATTAAAAAACTCAGCAACCGAACCTCTCTATACATCCGCAGAGGAGTTGTAGCAATGGGCAGTTTTAGAGCAAGTTTCACATTTTACTTTGCCTATTGTGCCTCGTCCGGGCATCCCTGATGTAGATGACCCAATTCTAGGCATAAGAGAGTGTGTTTCAGTTTCCATGCCCATTAATTTATTTTTCTTGGCCTTGTACCTGCATCTTGTATCCGCACTGACTCCAGTGCAAAATAAGTGCAAAACACAACTATCCTCATCTGGCAGTGGAGCCAGTGGGGATGGGGGGGGGGGGTTGATCGACACCCCTCACTCATGGCCTTTAAGTGTATGTGTGGCACCTTTTCACACAGGGCTGGAGACTGAGCCTGCCCCACTCTCACCCAGCAACGATGGCTCCCGTCCTGCAGGGCTGAGCCTGGCTTCGCATTCCAGGCATTGTGACATGGCACATGGGGTCACATGGTGCTGTGACCCCATGTGCCATGTAGTGTTGCCCTGGAGTCACCAGGAATTAACAATTAATCTTTCATTAAAGATTGTCATGTGATGAAACCTCCAGGAATACGTCCAACCAAAACTGGCAACCCTAGTGCCATGTCACAATGCCACTCTCTCACATTTGGCTTGGCCGCTCCTCTGGAGGGGTAGCCCTGCCAAGCCTGAGTGATGCTGCAACCCATGCACCGTGTGGCAATGCCTGGAGTGGGGAGCCAGGTCCAGCCTCACAGGACAGGACCCACTGCTGCTGGGTGAGCATGGGGCAGACTGATTCTCCAACCCACACCCCTCCTCTGGGTCTCCCCTCTGCAGCACCACGCAGGGATTAGGGTTGCAGTGCCAGGGCACGGGGTGCATTATGGGTGGTCAGTGCCAGCTGGGTGGGACAAAGAAGAGGAGTGTATTCATCAATACATTGCCTCCCTGCTTGCAAAACATGGCTCTACCACCGTCGGGTAGTATTTTACACACAGGTTTCTCACTTTACACTGGTGTAAATGACTGTGCGAGATGCAGAATTAGGCCCTAGATTTTAAAATTGCAACACTTCATAGAGAACTGGGGGTTTGAGCTTCACATTGAAGAAACTCTCTTGTTCTGTTAAGCTATTTTAAGAAAATTTGAGTTGTTAAAATGTTTACTTTTGTCTTATGTTACTGGTCACTTTCGTTTATATTCAGTGAATTTTGTCTCTGTATTTTGCCTTCTCCAAAAGAGATCTAGAAATAAAGTTGACTCCTTGCTTTAGAGGCTTTTAATACCCCTAATCCAGTTTATTCCATAAGCACAAAGCTATCATTTGTTCACATTTAAAAGCTCGCTTTTTATAAAGAATATGATGCATATGCCACCAAATCACAGACACAAATCTTTTAAATTAAAGTATGTTAGTGTTTCATGTGGTTACTGGTTTCAAGCAAGGAATACAATTTCATTCAAGGATGAAGCTGACCTTCTGAAACTAGATTTTATGCCAAGATACAATGCTATATTTAACTTGATGTAACCAAAACTATGCTTCTTTACTTAAGTGACTGGCTTGAATCAAGATGTTGATGTAAATAGGGGCCAAAGGTCTGATCTTGCAAGTTACTGAAAATGTCTAGCAGGTAGTGAGTGCCCTCAACTTTCATTAATTTCAGGAGGAGCTGAGGGCACTCAGCACCTCTCATTGCTGCTCATTGCTATAAGATTGGGCCTCCAACTTTTCCTCAGCTTATGTTTTCTCTCTCCATGCCACATTTTCCCCTCCCATTACAATATGGATGCTACGGGAGCCCCTTCCCTGTGTTGTTTCAGTGTTGTTCTATTAACTGGATAACAAAAGGTGCTAATAGAGGACCAGGTTTTTACGCTCCTCTTACTACTTTTATGAATAGTCCCATGAACTCAATGGGATTACTTTTATGAGTAAATGCTACTCAGCATGAGTAATGGTTGCAGAATCAGACCCAGCTTCCAACTTTCATAGCTCTGCCCCACTCCTTTTCACCTTCTACCCACTCTCCATGACCAGGTTTAAGCCCCAGTCCATGTGCTGTGATGCGCTGCTGCCAAACCATCGGGTCAGCTAAACGGCTGGTTTTGGTATTGTTTAAATATCTTGTAACTTCACCATACCAATTTCAGTTTCCTTGTTCCATTATTGGTTAGCTAAGACATCGTTCTATACGTTGTTATAGCTTCCTCTCTCTTGAGAATGTGGGAAGTTCTGTATTTCCTGTCCAGCTGTGCAGAGTGCAAAACAATATCCTCCCAGCACTGAATAAGATAAAAATTGTCCTTGCTCTGCTTGAGCTAACCACCCCCTGTGTGTACTGCAGCCCATCAGGCAGCATCTAGCAAACAGATACTACGGTGCTGTGTATTTTGTAGGATCCTAACAAAAGATTCTAAGTTTAGTATCTTTCTCTGAAAATTGTCCCAGGAGTACGGGTAGCAGAATGTGGCTCAGAGATGGGAATAGTGATAAAGCATGAATGGAAACAAAACATAAGTAGAGAAATTGATGGGGAATGAAGCAGAAAAAGGCAAATTGCTCAGGAAAGATAGGTGCATGTGATTTGTTCAGTACAAAGAAATTAAATAGCAAAGATTATACTTATTTTCCCTCCTTTTATGTAGATAGTTATCTTTTGACCTTAGGAACACCTATTTTACCTCATTGAGTTGATAAATCTGTGACAATGCAGAGATATGATCTCATCCTGCTCACCAATAGGAGACTTTTTTTTTTTTTAGCTTCGAGTTAAATAATGCAAACAAATCCAAGGCAATGAAAACTGGTCTCGTAAAGGATGTATAGAGGGAACAAACATAACCTACTATAAAATAAACATCTGACAGAAGGCTGTATATTTTTAAACTGCAATTGTCTGATGACAGTATTAAATCACAGAAGGAAAAACAAAAAGACTCAAGTAAGAAAACATTACTTAATGTTTTACTTAAAATATTTATATTGGAGTTGATCGGCGTACAAATTGCTCTCCCTTGTGATAGAATATTAAATCTGGGGACTTTAGAAGATGTTTTGCTGTATTTTGAACATTCTGAATGATCAGATTCACATTTTCATTAGATACAATAAATTGTTATAGCTTATGACACTATGATGCAAAAATTTGCAGTTTATTAGGCTCAAGTAGATGCCCATCAGTTTACTCATACAGACTGTGGTAAATTATACTTTACCACCAAACACAATTGTGTTAGATCCTACTGGTCAAACACAGATCCTACTATATTAAGGTTGTGGAACAATTCCCACTATAAGACCCAGTTTTCAGTTGCTTATAACTTTGCAAAAGTGTAACTGTTTGGGCTGAAAATGTCCATGCTGGATGTCTGCCCCAGGCTGAATTATTTTTGCAACATTTCAGTCAACATTGTACAGCCATTTCTGAGAATGAGGCTAGGGGAAAATACATTGTTTTGCCCATGTTAAAAAAAATTCTGGCAACCTTTTCTTTGAACAGCTCTAGAGCTCCCATGCTTTGACTGTGGGGTGGCCTTTGTCTCAGGATTTCACTTTTTGCTATCCTCATGAAACTCTGCCCACATTTGGCCAGGGTATAAGCCTTTGAAAAAAGTCAGTTTGCATATGCTCAAAGATTGATTGATTTAATTTTTAGCAGCTAAAATCTCTGAAAATTCCCATCCTCACTGAACATGCTCAAGTCTCTCTCAGCTCCTAGTTTACTGACCATACTGTGCATGTGTCATCTCCAGAGAGCAAACAAGCATGTTCCAGCCCTGTGCGTAACTCTCCCTGTAATGAGCATATTCCAGCCTTGTGCTGTAACTCCCCCAGGCACAGTGGGAGCAGGCATCAGAACTGATAGGGCACCTGTCTCTCCTGTGCACACACATGTACTTGTGCACTCTCACACCTCCACTGGCACCCTGGCAGCTTGGAGGAGGACACTGATTCAAACGCAAAGGGAACAAACTCCGGACTGGGGAGAGGGAAAGGAATAGATTGGAACAAGGAGCCTGCTGAGACTGGGACTGCAGGGGGGAGGGAGAGAGAGAGACTGACTGGGACCTGGGGGGAGTGGCTAAACTGGGATTGACACTGGTTGAGCAGAGAGGCTAGGACTAGTTTGACAAGGAGACCAGGAGCTGGGGAAGGGGGTGAGGAGACTGGGAGACAGTGAGGGGAAATGGGGCAGGGAGGACTGGGAGCTAGTTGGCTGGGGGATGGCGACACTGAGATTAGATAAGGAACTGGGGGGAGGACGGGTGACTGGGACTGGCTGGACAGGGAGACTTGGACTAGGAACCAGTGGGGGAGAGGAGAAAGATCTACCAACAAGCTGGTATGAGGGGCAGGGGACTGGGAATGGCTTGTCAAAGAGACTGAAGCAAGGAGGAGAGAGGTTTACTGGGGAGAGGGGGATTGAGATTGGATGAGGAACCTGGGAAGGGAAATTACTCTTCTCATCCCAGTCCAATGCTATAACCAGCAAACTTGCTGCCTCATATGAAAGAGAAATTATTTTCCCTGTGCTTATTCATATTTTAGGTCAATAAGCTTGTTAATGTAAACTTTTACTCCTATTGACTTTAGTGGAAATTTTAGGTGTGCAAGGAATGTAGGATCAGGCCCGACATGCACAGAGAACTCTAAGGCATTTGATGCACTTTAACTGACCTACTTTAGCATTTTGATGTGCTACAACTATAAGTTCTGACTTAAAAAAAGCAAAAAGCTGAGTTTAGGAACAAATCCCTCCCTATAACCATAGGTCTGAGATACGGCAAATATAGAATCACCATCCTCTGCCACAGAATCCTTTGTGGGGCCCAAAACAGATATAAAATAATAAATAAAAAGATGGGGGGGGGGGCGAGCTTTATTGGCTTTTGACACAGTAGATTTCCATTTCAGTTCTAAGGCACCCATTCACCAGATTTGTAGGACAGTGCCTGATGCTGGCATTAGGCCCAGCATGGGACACCAATTGATCACATGCTTTTAGCTCATTGTTAGTTTAGCAGGAAGAGAGTATAATGTAGTGGAGGGCTGTTCAAGAAGTTTTTAATTTATTTTGCTGTGTTTTGAGATGGTTCCAGGCTGCAAAGTTCTGATTCAGACTTTTCAGAAGTGTAGGTGAGTTCATTTTCATGGGTTTGATTTGGCCCACTATTGAAAAAGGGAGCCGTTGTGAAGTTTGGGTTCAGAAACAAAGTTTCAGGTTGTTTGGATCTGTGGTTTTGGATCAGACCCACCTCTGCTTACTATAATTTAAAAGCATTTTAGAGGAACACACACACCCCTTTACCATAATTGCCAGGAAGTTTAATGTCTGGAAAGGGAATGGGGATACTGTTACAAAAGCAGTTAAAAATTTAAAGGCCTTTGAAAGTGTATAGCCTTTTATTCCCCTCCTCAGTTGCAAGGTCTTGGGGTTTGTTTCATTTTCGGCTACCAGCCTAATATTTATCCTTCCCATGCTTGTGTTTGACACCTTCCTTATGTTGACATAGCACACCAACTTGTATGTTGCAGCCTAACAATAATCTGGGGAATGGTTTTTGTGGTTAAGGCATAGAACTGAAAACCAGGAGATAGCGGTTCTAGTGATAGTTCCAGGGCCGCCTGGGGGGGGCAAGAGGGGCAATTTGCCCCGGGCCCCGCAGGGGCCCCCAAGAGAGTTTTTTGGGGGCCCTGGAGGGGGGTCCTTCACTTGCTCCAGGGGCCCCAGAAAACTCTCGTGGGGCCCGGGCCCCCGGAGCTTCTTCCGCTCCGGGTCTTCGGCGGCAATTTGGCGGCGGGGGGTCCTTCCGCCCCGGGTCCCGCCGCCGAAGTGCCCTGAAGACCCGCGGCAGGGGGTCCTTCCACCCCAGGACCTGACGCCGAAGCGCCAGGTCTTCGGCGGCAATTCGGCGGCAGGGGCCCCCCGCCGCCGAAGACCCCAGGCCCCCTGAATCCTCTGGGCGGCCCTGGATAGTTCTGCCTGGACACTTAACTTACAGATGCTTGCGTTTCCTCATCTGTAAAATGGGTCTGATAATACTCTCTAACTTGAAAGGGGGTATTGTGAGGTTTAATTCACTAGTGTTTGTAAAGTGCTTGGTGACCCTCAGACGGAAGGTGCTACAGAAGTATAAAGTTGAAAAAATTCTCACTCGATGGAATCTCCCTGTTTGCTTTCAGAGTGACAGTTCTGTTTGGTTTTGAGCTGGTTTCTTATTTTACTAGAAAAAAACCAACTGCACCACCATGCGGTTGCACCTAATCTGCTTTGCACACCGTTTTTTTTTTTCCATTTCTGACTATACTGCACACTGACCTACTGAAAAGGTAAGAAATTCCGTGGTCAGTGAAGAATTTCATGCCCAGGGAATTTATATAAAACTATGGCTCCAACTAATAGTGGAATTTGTGAGAGAGAGAGAGCAGTTCCCTTTTTCCCCCTGCAGAATTTCCCTACCCTTTTAAAAGAAGTTCAGGAACCCTGTAAGTTCAATGAATATAGCACAATTTAGAGTATCAGAAAGTCATGGGAAATATTTAGTATGTTTGTGTAATTCAGAAGATTGTCAATGTAATTAATAGAGCAATAGTTGACCCTCTTTTAGATTTTTGTTTTGTTTTGTTTTTTTGGACGACTGATATTTGGATAATTGAACTGTACTGTTCAGCTACCAAACTTCTTGTTACTAATGGCTGCTTACAGCTGTTCGCATAAAAAAAAATGTAAGCTCTTCTGTCCCCTCTATCCCAAAGTACATTTTGACAGTTAATTTCTTGGTAATTGAGCACATGTTTTAAAAGGAAAACATGATATCCACATACCAAAGATGAAATTATCAGGTCGAAACAGTTGACCAAACGGACCAGATCTCACACTGTCCATGGTTCCTGGCTCCAAGTCCACTAAGACTGCTCTGGGTACATATTTCTGTGCTACAATAAAAATTAAAGACATCCTTAGTATACTGAAATAGGCTAAGTTCCTTCTATTATATTTCTTAATATATAAACAAATTATATGTCATAGTATGTAACATTCTTAGCTTGCTCATGTATCCTGATACAACTTGTATTCCTATATAGGTGTCTTTCCTCTCAAACATTATAGGAAAAAATCACTTCTGGTTTAGCAGCTGACTTAAAATCCTTTGGTTTTTTGTCACTCATCTATCTAAATTACATTTTAAAAACTGCTCTTCTACCAGTTGATATCCATATATGCAATTATCTGGGGAAATATAGGTTACATGTTCTTGGTAAACAGTTTATTTGAATAAAAGACCCTCTACTCATGTAATATATGATAATCCCCAGATATTTTATAAATGTAAAGAACCACTTGCATCCACCACTGAAATGGAGCCACTTCTGGGAGGTGGAAAACAGCAGCTGTTTAACAGCACACACCACCACTATACAGTACAACAGTTAATAACAGGAAGTGAAAAATGTCTTACCCAATTGAAATTGTAGGGGGAATTTAGGTAGAAAGAATTACCCAATCTGAAATTTGTCCCACACTTTGCAAAAAGTGCCAGGGATCTTGAATGTGCACAAGTGATCCAGATATCAGTTTTACAACCCATATGGAGGAAACATCTTCAGCAGCACAGTACCCACTAACTCCATACTGGGGTATTGATTCCCAGCATTCAGGGAACACTGCCATCTTAGTGAGTCACCATCACTTCCCGAGGCCCAACCTTTCTTAGCTTCTGAACTCGTAGTCAGTGTACTCTGGGGACAAGCTCACGTTATAAATTGCTTAGTGGTGTCAGTCAATCAACAGACACGTTTACATGACTTAATCGTATATTCACAAGCAAAAACTCCTAGCAAACAAAAAATAAATTCAGAGCTGTTTGCACCATTTCCTTCCTGCTGCCTAGAGAGAGGGAGTCACAGCAGATGTTGGGTTGGGAGGTTGATTGGAAGACAATGCACACATGTCTAATCAAGTTTTGTAGCTGAAGCTATGAGTAAACCTTTGCTTTCTTCACCATTTTAACATGCCTCCTCTCCCAGTTACGGAATATCACTCTCCTCGCCCCTCCTAACCTCCTCCGGCGGCGGCAGCACTTACAGGATGATTCATTATAGTAGACATTGATTCTCTCCAGCTGCAGTGCTGAGTCACCAGCGTAGCCTCCTGCTGGGTCGATGCCATGTTCATCACTGATCACTTCCCAAAACTTAGGGAGGAACAGAAAAAGGGAGAGAAACTTGGTTAAAGGAAGACGTGAGCAGATCTGTTCTCACCAAAAAAAACCCCAACCCTGTGTCTCCTTCTTTCACCAACGTCAAAATAATCCAAACCCACCCACACTTGGCAGGGACTGGGAAGCCCTTGGAGGCATGCCTTGCCCTAACAGCTGCCGGATTCTTGGCATGTCTGAGAGCTGCTTCTCTGAGCCCCGCCCTGACCCTGGCCCGACCAGCAGAGAGGAGATGGGGTGGGGTTGGAGAGAGACAAAAGCCTGGCAGCAGATCTACCCCAGGATTTAAAACCAAACACAGCAAACGGTTAACATCACAAACTGTTTGCGGGGCTATTTTACTGGTTGTTGCTTTTATTTTTGCTGCTTTTCTTTCTTTGATCCACTACTCCAGTTCATTTTTTTTTTTTTTTTTTTTGGCTATTGCTTGTAGTTTTTCCAAAACCTTTTATGGTCACATGAAGGAGGCAACTTTTGCTAGTTTTCAAGCTTTCTGGTCTGTATGCACCGACCCCAAGAGAAGTCAGAGTCCAAACTTTTTGTTGTGAGAAAAAACACCGCCTCTAAACGGCCATAGATATCAGAGGAAAATGTTTTCACCCCTCAGCCAAAAGGCTAGAATTTCTCAAGATAAGAACATCCTAAGGCAATGACACGCCTTGTTGCTTTGCAGAACTTTTCGTTGTGCTGCTGAAGGACTTAAAAAGCAGCTGTGGTACCGTTGTACAACAAAACACAACATCTTAAAAACAACTACATTTCCCTACGTGCAGTTCTTAGGAAATAATAAGTGAGGATACTATTTAGAGGAGGAAAAGATCTCTTACCTTAGTTCCAATTTGGTTTCCACACTGGCCAGCCTGGATGTGGACAATTTCCCTCATTGTGATACTTACAAGTCTCTCTCTCTCTCTCACTCTCAGACTCTTTGCAGAGTTCAGCTATGTGCAGTGTGTCTCTGGCTCAATGAGTGTTTTATTGGCTCTGGGATTGTGATCTTCCCTCCCAGCTCGGCTCACTGTGCAACTTCACTGCAAAAATAGCCAGCCCAGGCTGAGCAACTGGCTTTGGCCAGCCTCCACTGGGGCTGGATCTCTGTGTGAATGGCATTTCAGCTCATCTTTCATTTCTGGTCCAGAATGATGTCAAGGGGCCAAGACTGGAACAGACTAACACATTAACCATTTGGGAGCTTGCATTTTCCTTACTCAGAAGTGTCTATTTATAATAGACAAGATAAATAAAATAATACCAAAGTAACAATAATTTATGGACATAATCATCACATCAAACTTGAACACAGGTGACTGTACTTTACTGAGAGCAGGTTAAATAGTTTTTTCACCCCAAGTTTGGTGGCTGCATTTTCATAATACTTTTTTTTAATTTTAGCATTAGATAAGTAGGGAAATAATTAATTGCTCTCACGTTGTGTGATTAGTATCTTAGCACATACCTGCACGTTTGACATTTACAATAAAAGTCCCAAATATTTCTCGCATGGAGTCAGTTCACTCCTACACAAGCCCACATTTTGCTTTTAATCTTGACAATAGTTTGCAAATATCAGGTTAGTTAGCTTCACAACACCCCTATGAAAGAAGTGCTATCCAATTTGACATGGAAGGAAACCATTGTCTTCACTGGGATATTTGCATGAGGATGGGTTTGCAACATCAGGCCTTAAGTGTCAGAGCTAGGGTTGGTACCACATCCTGTGCTCAGACCGCTAAACCATACACCACTTATAACAATCATAATCTTGCAAATCTATAGTTATTTTTATATCACTGTTGTGGTTAGAAGCCCTAGTCATGGACCAAGACCCTATTGTGCTAGGCACTGTACAAACAGAACAAAAAGATGGTATCTGCTCCAAAGGGCTAACAATCTAAGGCAAGAGACAACAGATAGATGAGTGAGTACAAGGCAACTTTGGCATGATGGCCACCTTTAATCCAAATAGCTTCCAAAAGACTTTATTAATTGCACAAACAAATCATTGTATATATCCACTAAATGTACATGTGCTGGCTATAAGTAGCAGCTGATCAAACAAACAATGTTTAGGTGCCAAACCTTCTTGCCTTATTCCCACAAATAGTCCCATTGTAGCCATAACTATTTGTGTGAGCAAGGAGAGCAGATATTGGCCCATTTGCACGCATTTTCCAAAAGGTGAAATATGCACTAGTGATCAGCCTGACTTGAATCAACCTAGAATCTCACTCCCTTTTCCTGGTGTCAGTCTGCTAGGCCCAGAGAAAAACATTCCAGCACCAACCTGGCAGTCATTGAATGTAAACATCCTCACTGCTCCTCTGTCATCCATGTTAATGTTTACTCAGCCTGTAGTCTGGTTAAAGGCAAGTTATGAGATTCAACCTCCTTTATAACCTGTATATATCTGAGGTAAATGCACTCCTCCTAAGTTGTTCATAGCTTTGATCCTGGAAGGGACTGACCACTCCATCCAGCAAAGACCTAAGAAATGTGTTTAAGTACTTGAGTATAGTCTTAATTACTTTAAATTATGCAGGTGCCCAAGGGCCATGTTTTAAGGTGTTTATATGCAGTGGTGAGCTGGAGCTGGTTCGCACCAGTTTGAAGCAGTTTTAGAACCGGTTGTTAACCCGCTTCCCTGCGAGGGGGCGCAGTGGTTTTGATGGGCTCCGGCCGGGAAGTGATGTAATTCCTCCTCCGGCCGCCGGGGGCGCTGCGCTGTGGGAGCCATGTGGGCTGCCTCCTGGCCCTGTTGTTGCTGCTGCTCCCCTGGCCCTGGGGCTCCCACTGCTGCCTGGTGGGTCCCCGGCTGCTCTGCTGGGCCTGGGCTGCGTCTTGCTGCTTGGGCTGCTCTGAGACGCTCTTCCTGTGAGTACCTGCCACCCTGCCCGCAGCCAGCCCCTGTCTCCAGCCAGCCCCGCATCCCCTGCCCTGCCCCCCCACCCTACCCACAGCCAGCCCCTGCTGCACCCCCTGCCCTGTCCCCCCACCCTACCCACAGCCAGCCCCTGCCGCACCCCCTGCCCTGCCCCCCCACCCACAGCCAACCCCTGCTGCACCCCCTGCCCTGCCCCCCCACCCTACCCACAGCCAGCCCCGCCACACCCCCTGCCCTGCCCGCACCAGTCCTGTACCCCCTGGCCTGCCCGCAGCCAGCCCTGCACTCCCTGCCCTGTCTCCAGCCAACCCCTGCCGCACCCCGCTGCCCGAAGCCAGCCAACCAGCCCTGCACTCCTCTGTCTCCAGCCAACCCCTGCCGCACCCCCCTGCGGCCCTGCCCAAAGTCAGCCAGGCTCACACACCCGTCTCCAGCCAGCCCCGCACCCCCCTGCCCTGCCTGCCCTACCTCCAGAAAGCCCCTGCCCTGCCTCCAGCCAGCCCCACACCCCCTGTCTCCAGCCAACCCCGCACCTCCTTGCCTCCAGCCAACCCCGCACCCTCCTGTATCCAGCCTGCTCCGCACCCCCTGCCCTGCCCCTGCCCGCAGCCAGTCCCACGGCCCCTGCCTCCAGCTAGCCCTGCCCCACGCCCCTGTCTGCAGCCGGCCCCACGTCCACTGGTGCCCTGCAGTTCCCAGGCAGTAATCCTGCACACCTGCTTCAATGAGGAGGGCAGGGAGCAGCTGAGACCCACACATATGCACACCCTAGGGTGACCAGACAGCAAGTGTGAAAAATCAGGATAGGGGGTGGGGAGTAATAGGAGCCTATATAAGAAAAAGACCCAAAAATCGGGACTGTCCCTATAGAATCGGGACATCTGGTCAGCCTAGCACACCCCCAGGGAGTGGCAGGGACCCACACATGTGAAACGGAGCTCATTTCTAGTTCAGGCCCATCTTTTAAAAAAAGAACTTTAGGTAGGGTTAACATACATCCATATTTTCCCGGACATGTCAGGCTTTTTGGTTCTTAAATCGCCGTCCGGGAGGAATTTTTAAATTTAAAAAATTCCTCCCGGGAAAATGCGAATGTATGGTAATCCTATTGGTACAAAAAATACATACTGTGGCACATCCCTTAAATCAGAACTTTTTATAGGGAACCGGTTGTTAAGATTTTGGCAGCTCATCACTGTGAATCACTAAAGATTCACATAGGTACTTTTGAAAATTCCACTAGCCAACTAATTGATTGTGCTTAGGCATTTTTTGAAAGTCCTGCTAGGTACCTATCTGCATCTTTTGGCACCTAAATACCTATAAAAATGTGGCCCTAAGTGCTTTATAGGATTGAGCCCCAGAAGAACAATCTTTTAAACAGGGATTACTTGTATGAACATAATCTTAACTCTGTATTATAGATTTATGCCTATTGCAATTTTATCATGATCTTTTTCTCAGCTATCTTATACCTATCATTTAAATTAACTACAACTAAGGGCTGTATTCTCCCATTTATTTTATGCCTAACTTGACAATTATAATATGAATTTTATATCTGCTGCATTAAGAGGACAACAGATCTTTAAATATCTTGTTCTAGCAAAGTTCCCTCAGACATTTCAGAACTGTCTCATACTTTGGCTTCTAATAAAATCGCTGTCCCTTCTTTTTGCAATAGTTATCTGTACACTCAAAGTAAATATAGTAAAAGCTGGTCACATGTCTTATGGCCAGAAGATACAACCTCTATGCACCTCACAGGCCTGACCCTTTGAACACTCATCTCATATGGCCTATATTCTCAAAAGTATCCCCTCCAGTAAGTATAGGAGCAGGGGATAGGGCTAGTGCATCCCCTAATATGCAATAGACCATATGTAAAATAAGGAACATATAACCTCTAGGACATCTGTCTGAATTTGTCTATGAATGCTGTTTATTAAAAGCCATTAGTTTTAGTTAACATTAAACAGTTCTTTGATGTTCTGGTTGGAGATCTCTGTCCATTTTATAGTAGACAGGCATCTATGTCACAAGCAGGGTTCGGCACCACCATTTGGTGTGATAGACACTTGACAAAATTACCGTACTTAGACACGGACATTGGAGGAGTTGGGTTATGTCATTCAGTCATTCAATTTTTTTAAAAATTACCACAGTCTTCAAAAATTTTACCACGGATGCCTGTGTCCGTGTACGGACACGTTGCTGACCCCAGGTCACAAGTAGCATCGACAGACACCTTCACTGGCAGCCTCAGCAGAGATGTCAGAGATGGAATGAAGAATTAAATACTTGTATGCCTCTAGAGGTGGTCTTACTTCCTCCAAAATGCCACTCCTCCAGGGTCAAGGTGTATTGCCAAGAAGGAAAAGCTTACGCTGCCATTGTCTGTGCTATACTGAACATGTTCTTTGGATAAACCGAAGACTAACATTCCCAGTGCTTTCAATCTGGCACCTTTCACAAGAACTAAAAGTTCACTTTAAAACTAAAATAAATATTGAGACACAAGGGAGAATAAATTCCACAGTGCAGATAAAGTGTCTAGGTTCATGACAAGTTGCTACAGTACACAGAAAAGATGTTCCAGTAATAACATCACAGACTCATCATCTTCTTAGCAGTCAGTATAGTCAGAAAAACCACATGGAAATTTTTTTAACATCCTGGGAAAACACCACAGTAGTTCTTCCCTATTTAGTTGGTCATGAGACTTGATTGTTAAGCTGTTTCCTGCTTTTCTGGGAATGTATTTGTGTCATAACTATAAAGGGAAGGGTAACAGCTCTCTGTGTACAGAGACTTCAAATCCTTTTACCTGTAAAGGGTTAAGAAGCTCGAGTAACCTGGCTGACACCTGACCCTAAGGACCAATAAGGGGACAAGATACTTTCAAATCTTGGGGGGGGGGAAAGGCTTTTGTTGTGTGTCCTTTGTTTAAGGGATTGTTCGCTCTTGGGACTGAGAGGGACCAGAAATCAATCTGGTTCTTAAAAAAAAGGCTTTTAATTAAAGAAAAAGGTAAAAATCATCTCTGTAAAATCAGTATGGAGAATAACTTTACAGGGTAATCAAACTTAAAGAGCTCAGAGGACCCCCCGCTCTGTCTTAGGTTCAAAGTACAGCAAACAAAGATAACCACTCTGGTAAAAGG